GCGTCACTGACACAGCAAGAGAGCGTAACTAGCTGGAAGTTCCCAGGAAAAGCGAAGCAGGAGGCATGAACTAAGCCTCACCTACCACACAGGGGTCATGCCTCCTCCTCTCGGCTGCAGGCCAGCAGGCACAACACGTACGAGGCCACAGAAGCCTAGGCGAGCTTCGTCCTCCGCTTGCTGCCCATGGGCCTTCCCAAACCCCTTAAGCACGCAGCTCATCAGTGTGCAGCCATTTATCCAGCTTAGCATGTTCTGCTGGGAGTCCAGGCCACCTACGTTAGGACAGCAACTCTTCCTGGCGATTTTTATTTGTGAGATTATAAGCATTTTTAAACTGGTAAGTTCCTGGCCGCTAATCCCCTTCATCTGCCCTGTCTTTGTCCAGCCATTTTGGGTTACTTCAGCTGGTCAAAGTGTAGCTAAGATCGTAGTTTAACCAAAAGCTGAAGCTGGCATTGCCTCCAAGAGAAGCTGTCCTGCCACCCTGACTGCTGGCTATAGAAACGGTCACTTCCCAGGCAAACCAGCACCCTGAGCTGTGCGCTGCACAGTTGTGGGAACAAGTGCGTCAGGACGAGGGAGGAGGTGGGACTGCTGCTTTTGGCAGCATCGCCAAATTAAAGCATCCATCGAAGCACTTGGGAAAAACAAGCCATCTTGAAGGGCCCACAGATGTATTACAGTTTGGGGGTTTTTTGGTTTGTTTTTTTTTTCTTTTTAAGCACCTTCTCAAAAAAGAGAAAAGATGAAAAACCACTTCAAATCGGAGTCACTTCAGGTTCCCGAAGCGGGCTAAGGCGGCTGACTATAAAAGTATAGATGCATGTCACCAAATCATCTAGTATGAGAGTCCTCTCCGCAAAAAGTAAACATGCAATAGACACCAAGCAGCACCAGAAAAGGAGCACACCTTCAGCAAACCAGCTCCCCAGCACCCTTTCTATGGCCAGGCACCCAGCAGCGACAAGAGAGCAACCAGAACAGCTCATTCTCGAGGGCAAAGCTTAATGCCGAGTACCACGCTGCCTCACACCAAATGATTTCAGAGTATTAAAGGATAAGAATTTACCTTTACAGACAGCACCTTGAAGGTGAGGGTACACTTACTGCTGTGACTCAGAGATAACTCCATCACAGCTTCAGCTATCACAGAGCTGACACTTGCCCTTCCCAGGGGGTTTACAACTGCTTCGAAACAACGTGAAACCGACCTGCGGGAGACACAGCAGCTTCCCTCCTTCCCCGGGATCTCCAGGAATATCATCTCAGACTCTCAGAGCAGATGCTCCCAAACTGCTCACAGTTACGGCCCAAATCCCAGACCGGCGGCTTCACGCAGTCCCCTGAACAGCAGCACAAACATCAGACGAGCCAGAGCTCCTGACAGGGCCTAACTAGGACCCGACATTTGGAACAGCTCCCTCCGAAAGAAAACACGTACACATGTGCACAGGCACAAGTAAATTTGAGCTTGAAGCCGAAGCTGGTTTTCTCAGATTTCGCAGCACACTCAAATCAAGTCCAGGCCAACATAATGGTAACACACAGTACTTCAGCTTCTCTGCTTGTTACAATCATGTGGAGAAAACCTGCTGTGCCAGAAACTACACCAACACTCATTTCATATTTCTATCCAGCAGCTTCGCAAAGCATCTTATCTAGACTCAGCCCCCAACCCTCCCCTCTCCCAGAGTTCAGCAGCCAAGTGCCCTTCATTAAGGCAAACTCAGTGACACAAACAAGACCCACAAAGCCATCTAACCCACGAGCAGCTGAGCTAATACCTCTGGGCAGGCTGCAGCGATCCACCACAACTCTTTTTTGGATTATCTAAACCTGTTGCCAGTAAAAGCCTTTTCTTTCTTCAGTTGCAACAGAACCAAGAACAGAATTCGATTGTTAAGGGCCAATACTGACCAGTCTTTGGCTGTAACGGATCCTTTCTTCCTCAGGCTCCATCTCCGACTCTTCTGAAGAGAGTGAGAAGGACACTCCAGGACTGCTGTCTTCTTCCTCTTCCTCCTTTGAAGTCAGAGGGAAACAGTGAAGCAGGGCACACAGACACGAGACGCCTACATCCCTCATTTCTTTGCTCATTTTGAGGCCGATTCCATATCACTGTGCAGGGCTAAGAGAACACAGTGGATGAGCCCACCTCAACTTTTAATGCTCCCATTCTAACTTTAGGCATGACCTAGGGTAAATGACTTTACCAGCTGTTCTGTAACACCACATGAGCTGCAGGTCTCAGATGAGGAAAAGACCTCCGCTCCACACTACCACCAGCACAAGTGGCAGCTCAGTTGGCCCACACTGGGATATGAAACGGGCAAGCTGCTGTCAAACGCTCGACGGCAGTCAGGGAGCAGTCTGGTTTCCCCAGAGTACAAGATTATGCGTTAGAAAACCAACTCCTCCAAACACCACGATCGCCGTCCTCTGGATATCCTGTACTGTGGCACTCGGGAGAAGCTACACAGGCACAGAACATCTCCCGTGAACAGGGAAGGCGTATGGGACCTCTCCTACATACAGCGCTTGAGCACGGCTGCAGGTAGGGGACTAACTCCTGGCTCGAGAAGACCTACATGCTCAGATCTCAAAATCTGCCACCTTGTGACACCACACAATAACATGGGAAAACCTCCCAAGGCGTCAGATGGCACCTAAACTTTTTTTTTTTAAAGGAAACGAATTAAACCAAAGCCTAGGTATACTGCAGCTCTTAATCCCCATGCCAGACCTTCGGGGAAGGAATCTGCCACCCCGTGTGGTGTTACAGAACCGCTACCATAGTGTGGAGAGAACTTGTTTCATCCTGCTCTTCCCTGACCCTCTGAGCACGGTTTGACAGCAGAGCGTTTCAAGTCCCGCTAGCATCTCCCCCGTCCCTGCCGCCCGTACCGCTCAGGACCGGGCTTCCCAGCTCAGCTAAGGCAGCCCAGGCAGTTTCCCTACACTTGCTAAACTCTGTTTATAAACACCCGGACGACCGGAGTGCAACACACCGGCCAAGCCAGCCCGCTCGCAACACCCA